GATGAGCACGATGAGCACCTGCGGGCAGCTAGCAGCTTATGCGCCGCAGGTCACCGAAGACAGGCACGAATTAACATCAGTAAGGCTTCCCCACAATACAACAATGAGAAAGCTTGGATTCGGTCTGCCTAATTAAGGCGGTAAACGCCAGCAAGCAGCTCGACCAGAGTATGAGCTGCAGGTCACCGAAGATAGGCACGAACCAACACTAATAAGTCTCCCCCACAATAAGGCAATGAGAAGGCTTGGATTCGGTTTGCCTGATAGGGCTTGTAAGCCCCTGCAGGCTCGACCAGAGCATGCGCTGCAGGGCACCGAACACAGGCACGCATCAGCGCCTAAAAACCTCCTCACAACATGGCGAAGAGAGGACCCGGATTCGGTTTGCCTGATTGATAGGACTTGAAGAGCCTGTGGCAACTCTAGCAAGTAGAGCAGAGTGTGTGCCGCGGGACACCGAAGACAGGCGCGTATCAACGCCAAAAAATAAAAAGGGGGATCTGTGGGGAGCAATCCGGACTGGACTGAGTTACTGGAATTAGGACTTATTCTATGCATCTGCTCTCCCACAATATGGCGCTGGGAGAGAAGTAAACAGCTTCCGCACAGCTGCCTCCAGTTCAACTAATAAACTGTAGGACTTGCTCCTGATTGGAGGAGAGCAGCGTACTCGGTGTGTGGGCAGCCGAGTTGGGATTGGCGGAGGAGGACTATAAAGGAGGAGAGAGACGGCATGCACCGGGAACATCTAAGGGGAACACCTGTGCAGCCCCCGAGAAGAGCCGGCTGGCGGTGTGCCGCTCCCCTGCGGAAGTGGGGAATGTGGCTAGGGGGAACTGCCCTTCCACGGAGGTGGAAGGGATAGTAGCCAACCCGGGAAGAACCAGCAGCAAACCCGGGGAGGGCCGAGCAGACGAAAGAACAGCGCAGGGTCCTGTGTTGCTCCTCCACGAAGAGGGGGAGCGACACTCAATAGTTGAGACAAGGGCTGTTAAAAGTCATTGCATCTTGAAGATAACTTCAGTTTTTTTTTTTTTTTTTGAGAAACTTAATTAACTTTAAAGAAGCACTCAAGAATGATACATCTTTTGTGAGCAACTATATATAACTATAATTCATGAGACATAAGACCTCCATTAATACATTAAAAGAACTAAGTCCATGAGAACAATTTTTATCATTAATTAAAGAAGCACCTAAGAAAACAAGCAATGGAATTGGACATTCTGGCATGATTAAAACTTATGGGACATAAGAATATCCTCCACATAATACACTAAAATGAAATAAATCTTTGAGAACAAGTTTTACTGTTAGCTCACAGAATATAACTCTTTGAGGACAGAGGTCCTGCAAAGGGAGTTAGTGCACAGTGAGTCTTACTGATAATTTAACAATCAACATCTTTATCTATGATGTCAGTGATCACCTGAGGCTTTTGATATGAGCTGCCCAGGCTATGGAAGTTTTTTGAATCCACAAACTCCATCAGTATTTAGACAGGTCCATAAGCAAAGTGGAAGTTCTCTCCTCCCTTCGAAGAAAAGTATATCCTCCTTTGGTGGCCACTTCTTTCCACTGGGGTCTCACTGAGATCCTTCATGTAGGACATTTTTTGCCACAGTGTCATAACTTTCTATGCCTGAAATGCTCTCATGGGCATTTCAGCCAGACCAGAAAGCTTTGGGGCTGTTTCTGAGGTCAGAGTGCTATTTAAAGCGATTGTCATTCTATGAGTCTTCTGTGTGGACTGCTTCCACGTTGGAGCATTCACTCCTTTTTAATTCTATATTATTATTACCAGTTAATCCTATTTATATGATCACTGTAACACTCAATCCTATCTATATGATCATGTTAACTCTTAGAATGCTATTTTTACTATCCAGCTTAAGGGGATTTGGGGTCCCATGGCAAGTTTTTAAACTGTACCCTTAGAAGTAAGTCCACAGGAATGCATACAGAAGCATACAACTTTAAGAACATGGTAATTCTTCCCTTCATGCCTGCCCTCCCACCCACATTCTCAACTCTCTTCCTGCTCCCTTTCTTATTCATGCTCTTATTTTTTACTAAGATCTATTTTCAATTAACTTTATGCACATATGATTAACTCTTGAAAACCAACCCAGGTAAGCAGCTAAGTGGAGTGGTATCAACAGGCACCATGGGCTGCCAACAGCATGCTGTGTAAACACCCAAGGCCAAAATAAGTGCTCAAGCCTGGAAGTTAGGAGGGGGTGTTAGCGCACAGTGGGGCTCCAAGGACATCCTTCCTCTCCCACAGGCAAGTTTCTTACCCAGCCAGGAACTCTCTGTGGCACACTTGCGCTTCCCTAAATGTTCCTCTCAAATGAATCTTACATTAGAAACGTCATCTAAGTGGGTTTGAAATGTAAAGACAAAGTTTTTGCATATGTAGGGTTTTTAATTGTATGGCTGGAGGAGGGGAAATAATATATGATTTTTGAAACTATTATCTGCTTCACCCTAGAAAAGATTTCAACAGGAGGCAAATTTTCCTGACCAGCAGCGAGAGCAGGCATTGGGCAGACAAGGTGCAGAGGTACCACGCAGGCCCCTCTGGCAGAGAAGTCATTCCGGAGAGCAGTCCCAGTGGGGAGCACGGTGAAGGGGTCCAGGGCCTGAGGCTGCCCCAGGCAACACAGTCAGGACTCCCCCTTGGGGTCCCCCCGCTGGGAAGTGACTCACAGATCCAGGAACCTCTACCAGACTCCCTCACTGAATGCCACGCCCACTCTGCACAGGGAGATGAACAGCCTCCTCCCAACCCACACATTACCTTGCAACCTTCCTTTTACAAAACCAGCTGGAGGGCTGATTTGTGAAGGAGGAAGAAAGAACAAAGCCCAATTACTGATTGTTCTGGGTCAGACTCCAGAAGGGAATCCCAGCATGTTCTCTCTCACCTGCAGTGGGCCTCATCTAGGGTTTAGGAAGCCAGTGACTTCACTGGAGTTCACATTCTTTACCAATATTTTATTCTATTCAGAGCTGGAACATTGGTGTAGTGAATGACAGTAAATCAACACTGAAGGAAATACAATGACTTAAAATAAAAGAAAGTCTTACCAAATTCCTTTGGTACAGTTATGGAATAAAGGCATATTTGGCCAGCTGTGTAATTATGAGGGTAGTTTGGAGACAGAACTACCCCTTCTGATCCTGTGTACTGGCCTCCACAGGGAGCTGAAAAGGAAACCATCCAAGTATTAGGTACGCGTTTGCTCTAGCTTTCCTTCTCATAGATTCAGCAAGAAAGCATGTGGATATCTACAAACACTTCTGGTGTCTCTTTCTATAAATGCAGTTTCAAGCTGAAGGAACTCATCTTGTTAGAGAACCAGGGCAGATAAAATGATGGGAGTTATATGGACATCTTAGTGTGTGCGTGTCGGCGCTCACACATGTTTGTGCATGGATGTCAGAGTATTTGGATATCTGCATATTTTATCATGTCTTTATGTCTGTATGTGTATTTGTGTGTATATGTGCATTGTGTGTACCTGTGTGTATGTGCATGTGTGCATGTGTCTATGAGTGTGTATATGTGTGCAGATGTGTTTCTTGGTTTTTTACCCTTCATTATCTTATAAAAAACTTCAGTACAGCTTTTCTTGAGAAAACTTGTACACATGTTCAAAACACATTTTGATGTATCGGGTGATAGCCATCCCGTTAAATCCCAGCCATTTGATATTCAGTTTTTCAATTAAATTTCCAGTATTTCAACATCTCATATTTTTATACAAAGTGGGTCAGAGTCGGCTCGTGTATTAGATTATAGACTGGTGACCTGGACAGGCGTCCCTCACTGCCGGCACCCTGCACCCACACCTGTCGCTGGCCTCATTACAGTCCCTGTCCAGGTGCACCTGTAGTGAATTGTATTCAGAAGAATTTCAGTACTGGAAAAAGTCTACATTCCAAGAGCTCATTTCTTCTTGATATGGCAGTTTTCAAGCACAAAGAAAACAGAAATTAGAGGTATTGTGTTTAATCCTTTGAATATTAATTAGCACACTGTTAAATCCTACTTGATGGACTGAACACTCTCCATGATTTCTAAACCCCCTTAGAGTTCGTTAATGCTAATTCTAAGGCACTTCTTGAATGATTTGTCAAGTGTGTCCGTGATTTGTCAAGAGATTTCCCAAATCCATGCATACCATGGCTTGGGAAGTATTAAGTCATATTCTAAAGGTCAAAGGAAAATAGCTTAGACAGCTGACAGCTTTGATCTGTTTATGATCAACTAGTAGACATTTCACTTACCTAAACTAAGCACAGCCTTCATTCTTATGTTTAATTCAGAATTCATTTATCACCCTAAAGCACACTGTACTTTCTTACAATTTTAAATAGGAAAATTGTGTTTCCAGTTGCAGATGCTAGAGATTTCTTTAGGCTAAATTCCAGAGGGGGAGGATTCCAGCAACATGCAGGAAGACGCCCTCGGTCAGTGCCGCCGCAGCACTGATTTCTCTCTCCCACCAACCACACCATTTCAGAATTAGCCCTTCCCTTTCCTTTAAATTCAACTGAATTCAAGTGAAAATTCAACTTTTTAGAAATGAGAACAGATTCTTGAATGGAAATCCATTTTCTTTTTGCCCAGTCATAGAAAGCAACCAAATCATTTGGCAAAGACCCTTCTTTCAGCTCAAAAATTCGTCCGTTTCAGATTTTAAACAAGAGGGCTGCAAGAAAACTGGAATGAATCACCATAGGGCCAACATTTTAATGCCCCAATTATTAGAGATGGGCATCTTCTTTTTCTTAAAATGTAACTATCATGTCTCACCTTGTTTAATGATAAGACAAAACACATTACTTTATGATAGCACTAAAATCAACCAGGGAGGGAATGGAGGAACACTGGCCTGGTGTCTTTGGTGGCATTGATGAATTGTGATTATGAGGGTACCTTCTTACTCAGGCTTAGAGACAGGCACTCAAACCATATAGCACATTTCCGACGCATTAAGTGTTCTTGAACTTGAGTAAAATATGTAGAGAACTTTTTTTTATTGCTAAGTATTCTGTCCATGTTATGTTGTTAATCTATGAAACCAGCATGTTAGAAATTACTTTACATTAACGTGATAACAGAAGAAAAATATGTGCTTCCTGCCTTGGTAATTGATATTGAACGAATTATTTCTTAAGTGAAGAAAGATGTGCAGAGGCATTCATTGCAGATGGTAATAAGAGCTTCCTAATCCATTTGGTTAATTGGAACGTATAGCTCATATTTAAAGGCAGGCAAATCCAATCAAATTTAATGAACAAACAAACAAACAAGAACCTCCTGCCAACAGAAGCCATGCTGATCCATGAAGGAGCTCTGTGCTTTCCGATCTTGGTTCCAATTATTCTACAGAAAACCTCAAGGAGCAAGAACTGCAGGCAACGGATGAACAGGCATGGAAAGCTTGTGCTGTGCACCTGAGGTAACCTGCTCCAACATGCACCCACTGGGGCCCTTTCGAAAGGGCTAAAACAGAGCAACGGCCTGCGGCTTCGCTTGGGGATCTGAGGGTTCACAGGCACTGACTCATGTGCAAATGTGCTGAGTCACCCCCACAGGCCTGTGGGACCCTTCTCCTCGGCTACTCCGTGGGGTATCAGGGAAGAAGCAGCCAGGGGTCTGTGACCTATGCCCTTGGTGATCTAAACAGAGACTCCCTAAGTTTTCAGACGAGGAAAAAGAAACTATCTCTACTATATTCATTTCCCCAGTGTGGCCTCATTTTGTGATGTTTTTATCATGGCTGAAGTATTGCTACTCCCCCATACATTCAAATGGTATTTGAGTTTATGACAAACCAAGATCCTTTAGAATCACTTTTTTAACAAAATTAGAAAACTCGTGATCCTTCCCTACCTTAGCTCGCTATTTGCAACTCCCTTACACAGATGTGGTCCCTAACCAGACGGGAGCTGCCAGACAGATATGACACCCGGGGAGTGCACAAATACAGGAAACATACTAGACCCTCCACCCCAGCGGAGGCATGCTGAAACACCTACGTCCGTGTGGGCGACAGCCCTCCTGCTGGGGATGTCAGCGTCTAGGCTAAGGCAGCTCTGGCTCACATGCTGCTCAGAGGCTGATCCGGGCCAGCTCTCGAGGTTGTGGTCACTGCCCTGGTCTACCTGAAGATGGTGTTCAAAGTCAGGTACGCACAGAATCAAGAGTTGGATGTACTGAGCTGTGTGATCACTGCATGTAAGTCTCCCAGGAAACGTGATGTGGGGACTCACACCCAGTGGGCCCTGGAGCCTCATCAGAGACCAAGCAAGGACTCGAGGACTTGCTGACTCGGCAGGACACCCTACCTGCACTGCCGCAGGGTTCACACCCTGGGCCCTGCCTGTGCTGCCCACTCCTCACCCCGGAGAGTGACTGAGCAATATGGAAAAGGGAATGCTGGGTAATCGTACCAAGAATTTATATCAAGTGATATTAAGTACTTCCAATTCTGTAATATTATTAGGATATTCAAAAAGCTACTTGCATTTTAAGTACACTTGAAATATGACATAATTCATATTCACTTTCTATAAAATGATGACTACATGGAGTTTTTTAGGAATTTCTCTTGTATCTAAATGTTCATATGATCATGATCATAACTGCTATGAAGGAGACTGGGCAGACGGAAGTCAGTACTGTGTGTTTATGCTCCTTGTGAGAAGTGGAGGTGGACCTGGGCTCCCCTGTGGCCAGCACTTCTCCACCTGGGCACTGCAGGCAGCTACTCCCTCTCCTTTGCAGCTTGTGGTGAGAGAGACACAAACATTATGTAAGGAGGAGTCACAGGACCTAACATAATCTTGAGTAGATATGATTTTAAAAATGATATAAGTAATATATAAGAAATCTACAAATACAGAGAAAGTTAATATAATGAATATGTCAGAAATATATAAATGAATTCATAGAAGAGGATTATAATCCCACTGAATGAAGCCTTACTTGTCAGTTAGACAGTAAGAAAAATGTTACTCGAACATCAGGCAACACGCATGTGAAGGGCACTATGTCTTCCTTTTCAGGCTCTTACAGGTCTTCTGACACCGGAGAAGCATCTGCACTTAGATTTCTGTTATTCTTATTAGAGAAGAAAATATGAAAGGATAGGAAGACTTAACATGTACTATCTTTGTTACAAATTATTTTAGCTTCTCACTGACTGATTCGTTGACACCAACAGCATGGTCTAGCCTGTGTCCACTTGGCCTGACCTGGACTAGCCTGAGCTCTCACCAGGCCGCCATGAGCGTCCCAGCAGCCAAGCCTCCTTAACTATATATATATATATTCATATATAAATAATATAGTTAATAACATGTATATTAACATTCTATGGGTGCTTCTTTCCATATAGATGATAAATGATAAATAGGTAGAGTTTGCCAGTGATATAAAATACCACTATATATGTATATATGTGTGTGTGTGTATGTATATATAATGGATATTTTATATCACTGGCAATCTCTCTACCTATCTACCTACCAATCTGTCTATCATCCATCAACTATCTATGGAAAGAAGCACCCATAGAATGTTAATTTGTACCTTATATGTAGATCAGGTTTGAAACAGCCCAAAAGAGAAGTAAAAGTGTCAGGCTGAGTGACACAAGATAACTGCCTCATCTGGCAACCTGGGAGGACGCCTCACTTAAGTGACCAGTGCCTGTCCAGTCCCACACCAGTTCTCCGAGCCATCATAGCACTCCAGCGCTGCGGTGTGGAGATGTGGCCCTCCCAGGGACACTGACAGCAAAGCAGCCAGAGCCCACACGCACCACTGCAGGAGGGCAGCACGCGGTCCCAGGCGGGTTTTCCATCCGCTCCGATCACACACGTGATGGACGAGGGGTCAACAATCTTGTAGCCAGAGTCACACTGGTAAGTAACGGTCGAGCCCAGTTTGAAGTCGGTTCCAATTCTCGTCCCGTTCATTATATTTCCAGGGTCAAAGCAAGCTTCCCGGGGTTTCTCTGCACAAGAAATGAATACGCACCAAATGATTAGTCTCCTCCAGTGGTCTACTGTACTCAGATATGCTGTAGAGTAAATCTAGCATGGCAATTCATTATATTTGATAAAATGTACTTCACAGACTTTGGTCCACATTCACAGATAGAATCGCAGACGGCTTTGCCAAAGGCCTGTTCTTGCAATTGTTGGGCGCTCGGTGAGTGCTGTGTGGCATCTAGGACTAGCGTGACTTTGCTATATGGATTTATGTATTATGTGGATTACTTTATGTGTTTGCAGGTTTCACATGGCAGCTCATGCTCTGAGCATTCTATGCAGCTGCCGGAAATCCCATACAGAACCAGAATATTTATTTTATTCAAACACAGACCAAATACGTCCACAATGGGAAACTTTCAGTGTCTGTCCCTCAGCAGCGCCTAGGACCTCTCATCCTCTTTGTCATTTTTGGTGGAGATTCTCACCTGGTTCTGCTGACTGCTGGATGAGACACCACTTACACAGCCTCCGGCTTCATGCGCTCATTTAGATTTCCGAGGACAGGTTTTTCTGCAGGTGAACTGCATCTCATGGTTTGGTTCTGTTTACCCAGTTGTCAGTTCGAGATGTTCCATGATAAATCACAGGTGCCTGTCTCGCTTACGACTGCTCCTGTTCCCTAATTAGATGACTTCACGATGCATATGCTCTGCTCTTGTTCCTGTCTGTTCCACTTAGGATCCCTGGGAGGAGTCCTGCTTTGGACGGGAATGGACTGCCTCTGCCCGACCCTTCCTTGCTGCCCAGCCTACTGCCCTGCGGCTCATCCACCCGCAGCGCCCTGAGAACTGATCCTGCTGCCTGTGCCGAGCACCAGCCGAGAGCCGTTCCCTGCCCATATAAAGCATCCGCGCTGTAGTCTTTCCTCAGACTTTTTGGTGAGGCTCCGCTGGAGAACACTTCAGATATCAGGAGCCATCAGCCCCACAGACACAGCACACTGGTTTCTGGTGCTGCGTCTTCATGCCACCTGAAACGGCACACCACTGCCTGGTACCTGCAACCCCTGGGTGAGCACAAGGTGTCTGAGAGGGCCGTGTCAGCGCACCTGCTCCTCACTTTAGAAGAAGGGTTTCGGGGCCAGAGCTGTGGCATAGCAGGTAAAGCTGCCGCCTACAGTGATGTCATCCCATATGGGCGCCGGTTCTAGTGCCGGCTGCTTCACTTCCCATCCAGCCCTCTGCTATGTCCTGGGAAAGCAGTAGAAGATGGTTCAAAGTCCTTGGGCCCCTGCACCTGTGTGGGAGATTTGGAGGAAGCTCCTGACTCCTGGCTTTGGATTGGCACAACTCTGGCCATTGTGGCCACTTGGGGAGTGAACCAGTGGATGGAATCTCTCTCTCTCTCTATATATATATATCTCTCTCTCTATCTATCTCATTCTCTCCTCTCTCTTTGTAACTCTGACTTCCAAGTAAATAAATAAACCTTTAAAAAAAAGAAGAAGGGTTTTGTCTGTGTGACTGATTTTCTTTTCTTTTTGGCTGTCACAGACCAGGTACTGTTATGGCCAAGTGCATTTCATCGAATTCTTGTTAATACTGAAACTGCCTGATGAGTCGACAGAAGCCTTCAGAGTGATGTTTCAGTTACTCCTGAACATAACTGCCCTCGTGCCCTGATCGAAAGGCCCAGGTATTCACACTGAAGTAAAGGTGCTTACATGTGAAGAATCGGATCTTTTTGGGGGGAAATAGAGTAATTTTCTAGTTAAAAACCATATAAGGAAATTCAAATAGGGAGAAGTGGCATGTATCCTGTATTTTCCTTTGTAATTTTTCTCTACAAATTGAACATAAAAGAACTTCACTAATTTTTAAATAAAACGTCTGACATGGTGAACATATTTGTTGTTTCCTCCAATCCTTTCTAATACACACTGTACTCTGTTCACATGAGACATATATTTGAAAAAAAATAGATTTTCATAAACCCAACAGCAAAATGTGAAGTTACAGGTGATTCTGTATGTGGCCTGTGTGTTTTCCCTGGGTGTTAGTAGCCAGTGATGGTGACTCTCTGTAGGCCGTTGACTGATCTGATGCCCACAGCTCTGCCCAGGGCCAGGGCTCCTGGCAAACCAATAGCTGTCAGCAACAGAGCCAGGAAAAAGACAACAGTTATTTCTGCTCTGAAAAACACTGAGATAAAACCCAGCTACTGTGGGGTCAGCCTTGTGGTGTGGCTGGTTAATCGCTGCCTGTAGCACCAGTATCCCATATGGGCACCAGTTCATGACCCAGCTGCTGCACTTCCTATCCAGCTCTCTGCTGTGGCCTGGGAAAGCAGCAGAGGATGGCCCAAGTGCTTGGGCCCCTGCACTCACGTGGGAGACCCAAAAGAAGTTCCTGGCTCCTGGCTTTGGCCTGGCCCAGCCCTGGCCAGTGCAGCCATTTCAAGAGTGAACCAACAGATGGAAGATCTCTCTCTCTAACTCTGCCTATCAAATAAATAAAATAAATCTTAAGAATAATACACCTAGTTACCTTTCTCTGAAGGGAGGAGAGAACCTCCACTTTGACTATGACCTTGTCTAAACAAGATAAGAGTCGGAGAACTCAGAGGGCTTCCATAGCCTTGGAAACTCATGACTGGAGCATAGGGAGATTACTGATGCCATAGACAGGAGTGTCAATTAGTAAAGTCAACAACAGGAGTCACTGTGCACTTACTCCTCATGTAGGATCTCTGTCCTTAATGTGCTGTGCATTGAGATTTAATGCTATAACGAGTACTCAAACAATATATTTCACTTTGTGTTTCTATGGGGATGCAAACTGTTGAAATCTTTACTTAATGCATACTAAACTGATCTTCTGTAAAAAAAAAAAAAAAAAGAGAAAGAAATTATCAACTCCCAACTTGACTCTCACTGGGATTAAACATGACAATAGGTCTGATCTGATTTCATCATCATTTAAAAAAATCATCTATTATTTTTCACTTTATGTTTCTGTGTGGGAGCAAACTGTTGAAATCCTTACTTAATGTATACTAAGCTGATCTTCTGTATATTAAGATAATCGAAAATGAATCTTGATGTGAATGGAAGGGGAGAGGGAGTGGGAAAGGGGAGGGTTGTGGGTGGGAGGGACGGTATGGGGGGGAAGCCATTGTAATCCATAAATCGTACTTTGGAAATTTATATTCATTAAATAAAAGTTAAAAAAAAAAGAATAATACACCTAGAGACTGGCACTGTGGCATACAGGGTAAAGATGCTGCCGGCAGTGCTGGCATCCCATATGGGTGCCAGTTCAAGTCCCGGCTGCTCTACTTCCCATCCAGCTCTCTGCTGTGGCCTGGGAAAGCAGGAGAAGATGGCCCAAGTGCTTGGGCCCCTGCACCTACATGGGAGACCTGGAAGAAGCTCTTGGCTCCTGGCTTCAGCTTGACCCAGCTCCAGCTGTTATGGCCAACTGGGGAGTGAACCAGCGGATGGAAGACCCCTCTTTCTCTTTCTCTCTCCTTCTCTCTCTGATTAACTCTGACTTTCAAATAAATAAACCTTTTAAAAAAATACACCCAGCTACTTTGATATCCTTACATTTAGACATCCAGAAGAAATCAATTAAAACACAGCTGGAAACAAGTCTTAAATGTCAACAAATTATTCATCACACAAACCATGATTTATACTAAACGGCCATGAACTTGGGATAACATTTCCCAGCATTATTTTTCTTCCTGCTAAGGGAAGAATGTTCCTCTGGAGTTTCCTTTCCCCCAGGGAGGCAGGAGTCACTTCCCAGGAAAATGAGCTGCATGTCACCGTTTTATGTATTACACGGATGTGAAAGACTTCATAAAACATTTGCGGTGAAAACAGTCCCAGTGCAAACCACTGTCCACACACCCAGCTGATCACAGTACCTTTGAACTCAATGGCGAAGCCCGACAAGCCCACGGAGGCGTCACTCCGAAACGCCAGGAAAAGACTGTTCCCACTGCTCTCGATTCTGTCAGGGGCCTGCGAGCCCTGGAAACTCCCGATGAGGGGGCTGTTGGAGTCGGCCCCCTCGTAGATGTGGAGGAAGTCATAGCTGGGCTCCATGTTGAAGCTGCAAGGGAAGAACACAGGGGTGCTGTGGGACCCAGCGTCCACTTCCCTCGTCTTGCAGAGTAGCGCGCCTTCACTCCCTGTGTGACGTCAACTATTCATACTTCATCAGGCTACTGTCTGCTCTTCTACACAAGATTCCAAAGGTAGTGCAATCCCAAAGCTAAACGTAGCAATAATCAAAATGTAAGAATAGCAACAGGCATCCCAAGCGCCCGTTTCCATAAATCACATTAGTGTTTTGCACAATGACATTCAGCATCTGGACACGAGGATAAGGAAGACAGGCAGAGAACGTGAATCCTCCTGCCATGGGCACACTACGTCTCCCTCCCCTGCACCTGGCAATGAGTGAATGAAATGGGGTTCGGAACAGTGGGGCTCAAAAAGGATGGGTTCCCACACTGGCATCTGATATTTATGTGAATATGTCTGTACTGAAGACAGACCCTCAGGATTACTGACCCCTCCTGACAGTCTTACCCAGTCTTTGTTTGGTTTTACTTCACAAATGGAAATGTCCCTGCTTGCACAGAGGCCATCCAGCAGTAACGGTCTACACTGGCGAGAGGGCAGGGTTTCTCACAGCGCGCTGCACCATGCTGAGTGGGCTGACACCTCCTCTCCCTCTCCTGCTCTCTCCATTCCTTTCTCCTGTGTTGTTGAGGGAAGGAGCACCCCAGTCTCACAGCCCAGCCCCCGAGCTATCAAGGGCAAGATGTGAGTGCTGACGGCGTCCATGAGTTTTAAACACACACACACACACACCAGAGAGTCAAGCATGGTGCTATGTCTAACATCTTGACGTGATCAGACTCAACTGAAACACTGGAAGATGCCTCCGGTCATCCCAATGCCTGCCTCTCCCCTGTTCCTCTCACCTCCTGTCGGGGTTCTGTGTCTCCTGAGGACTCAGTGCGGGCAGCTCCCTCTCTCTTTCCTTTCTGTTGGGAGACGTGCCGGGTGGCCAGGACCAAGAGGGGCATGGCATTTTTTGTTTGTTTGTTGCTGTCTCTGAACGTTTAATAAGCAGCTCTCTTTCATTTGGGGACTCAAGCTTGTGAGAACAGCAGGTCCTTCCCAAACTGCCCGCTGCATCGTGCAGGGCACACAGAATGTGGGTCCCTGGGCTCCCACAGGGCTGCCCACTCTCCCCCCATCTGAGGTGCCAGCTGTGCTCACTCCAGTGTGAGGTACCTGGATAGCTTCACTAAGGGTGCTGCGCTGAGTCCCTCAGTCTGCTTGACAAGCTCGAAAATGAAGTTGGCATGAAGAAGGTGTCAGCGTTTGTAGTTATGGGCATAGTGGCTAACAGGGACTACACTGACCAAGTAGAACTTGGCTGAAGTAACGGTGACGTTTGGAGTATTTCCAGGACGTCCACGGAATCTGGCCATCCTGCTTCTCCAGTGTCTGGCATTTGGGATTATCATTACAGGTTATGAAGTAAGCAATGAAAAAGATGGAGAAGAAAAGCGTGTGCTCTGTATTCTCTGTCCGTTTGGACACGGGGTAATGCATGCACAGGAGTCTACAGTGGAACTGTAAACAGGGATGACTTTCCACGTTATTTTGCTCTCTGCTCCCTGTGCGCATGCACAGGCCTCAGCAATGAGCTGGCGTGTGACCACGCCTTTGAGCCATCTTCTGAGTTCCACATGTGACTATGAGCCCTAAGCCTGCAGAGCATGACCAGAGCCCCTCATCAAAGACCCCGGCTCCAGCAGGGGCCCTGTGGCCCCTGACTGCTCTAGGTCCTTCCTTGTTGCTCATGCCAGATGCCTGCCCTGCCCCCATAGGTCCCTGGACTGAGCCTCACGCTTCAGCAAGGCACCTCGCAAGGCCGTCGTCAGTGCCAGCCTCCCTCTGAGCTCTGCAGAGCCTGTCCCCACCCAGGACTCTGGAGTGCCCCTCAGCACCACAGCAGCAACGTGGAAACAGCCCAGATCACAGAGTGGCAGATGTGTGACCTGCTGAGACGTGGGGTCAGCTGGTGACTCCTGGACTCCAAGAGCCAGAGGGAACGGGAAAGTCCCCATTTCAATCTTGCAGGCTGGGGTATGAGGAGCGGTGGCAAACAACACGCATAAAACTGCCCCAACTACCATCAGACGCACTGCACTTCAGGAACCTTGATGACTGCTCCCGGAGACCCAGGGAGACACAGGGAACTCTGACTGATAAGGCGCCCTGTTCTGCTTTTGAGCATTAATTTACTTTTAATCTGGAACCAGAGGTGTCTGCAGGTTTCACAGAAGGCACCACCAGAATTTGGCATTAAAAAACACACACACACACACACACAAATACATCAAAAAATATAGGCAGCAAATGTTGACTGGTCTGGGAGGCAGCTGAGTGGCATAATGAAGTATTCACCATTTGGTAAATTTATAGCAGCTTTAGTAAATTCAGGAAATGACGGCTGATCCACCTACTTAAGATTCAGGATCACAGATACTTAAAATTACACAGATGCAGATCTCATCAGGAGGAGAGAGTGCAGAGAGGTAACCTCTTGCAGCCTTGAATACAGATGGGAAGATCTCTAGAAAAGGAAACCAGCTCTATCAATAGCCAAATCAACCTCACTGAACCACTTTGCCTTGAAGAACCACGAGATTAATCGCATGTTCTATAAAACCACTTACTTTTATAAACACCACGTCCATCTGGTTCAAAACCCCAAGTATAAAGTTGGAAAAGATCTTTGGGCATCAATAAAACGTAATTACCACAGTCTTTATGCTACTCACACGACAGTATTGTATCTCTACTTCTGTGGAAAAGCGTAGTATTTGAACCTTTATCACCCAGTCCAGCAGGCGCAAGTTCGCATATTTAAGACTGACGCCTAGTTACTCAGTTTACAGCCACTGAATGCTAGGACACTTTCACTTCCACAGCTCTTAGCAAGTTCAACTATTGTAACGAGAACGGCAGTGCTGCTCCGCGAACGTCAGACAGGACGTTATGGAATTGAAGGAGACAGAGTGCGTTTAGAGGACAGGTGCGCCGGTGAGTGATGACAGCACGCTTTTCTATATCACACGGTTATTACTTTTCTTGAATATCTTGTAAATTAAGGTTTCTGACATGGGCCTCATTGAGTGCATCGAAATGCTCACGAGTGCAGTGACACACTTCCATTCATGTCGCTTCGCGACTGGTCGCAATATCTGTCAGACACAAACCCAAGGCTCACCCAGACGTAGACCTGGAGACGAGGAAGCTCCCGCTGAAGTCCTTTCTAAGTACAGCATCTACAATCCTGCGGCAAGGAGACATCTGGAGAGAAAGCATACCTTTTGAATATCAGGGCGATGACAAAGTCCGGGTTCACATTTATTCTCCAGTCACATTCTTTCCCAGGAGGGTAGGGCTGAGGGTAGTTGGGTGACAAAATGACACCTCCGGGGCCAGTCAGGTTCCCGCCGCATGCAGCTGCCACGCAACACAAGTCAGGGGAGAGAGAAAAAGGCAGTCAGCGCATAGGTGCTCTCAGAAGGGGCTGGCTCACCAGCCATCTCCCACCAGCATGAGTGCTGGGCTCACCTGCCCAGGTTCACCTGCAAGACTCAAGCAGGTTGCACGTTTCTCATGGAATTGTTGATGGATTTTAGGCAAGTACAACAGCCTGCCCTCTGTGTAAGGAGGCTCTTCAGACTTCTGACACATGAGAATTTCTTTATAATTTTAAGTTTTGCCCAATTCAATTGAACATTCAACATTCAGTGTATGCGCGTGCACACACACACACACACACACACACACACTACTTGGATAGAAAAAAAAATTCCCATGACAACACAATATGCTCCTGTTATCTCTGTGCCATTTCTTTGGTCACAACTCGCTGTCTATTCTAGAACGCTTTTTCCCCCTGGAACACTGGCCACCTATCATTCGTTCACTCTTTTCTCCTAATATCCGGCCCAGGTTCTGGATCTCTATAAGAATCCAGGAAGTTCTTGCTCGAGAAGTGAATCCCTATTATCTTACATTTCTCACATCCTCTGGTTCACGTACAGCATGCGTCAATTTCCCACATTTCAAAATTGCAAAACATTCACCCAAAGTTTAGGTGACATTAAGGGATATAAATAAAGGGCTGAGATAAAACATTAACCATTAAAAATATTACTTCATTACAGTGCTTTGTACGTGCTACTAGAAACACTTTATATGTTAATAATCATTTTAGTTTTCATAGTCATCAATGCTGACTGAAATGTGTTTGTATTTAGGTCAGGAAGACAGTAACTTTGGAGTTCAGTACTGCTTCCAGGCAAACTTTTAGTCTTGGTCCTTAAAATACTTAGAACTATTTACGGGACAAAATTTCTCTTTAATCTTCCATCACATGGAAAGTGTTAAGCATTGCAGGATCCAAAGACCCACACATTTTATGTTGATCTATACAAGAGTATGCTGGATACGGAGGTTCTTTACGTCACGTGCTGTGGACCCTCACCAGACTGCTTTGCCCTAGCACCACAATTACACCCCAGAGTTCCCCTGAACCACACATCTTATTTCAAATCCCTGATTGCAAATACATTTAGGAGAAGATAAGCAGAGAAGAAAATGACTTAACTGGTGATTTTTATACAAAAGGAAAAAAATGTTTTTATAAATAAAATGAAAGAAGATGAAGACACATGCTTTCCAGCTCTCAGTGATGGATGGGTCCTCAAATACTCATTTCACATCCTTGTCAACTTAATTTTCCAGAAGAAGACAAATAAGTAATCCCAGCACTTCTGAGATAGTCTCACAGTCTAATAACAGGCTAAATGATGATATAGAAATAAATATTTATAGTCAGTTCCTTATAGAGACAAACCCAAGAGTAATAGGATAAAGTTTTTACCCGCCCCCGTGAGACCCGCCTTTCCCCTAGTATTCAGTTTCACTGTAATCACCTACAGGGACACAATCGGCTAATCAGCTCCTGCAAGGCAAGACCTCCCCAGAATCCAGCGGCAGAAGTTGACAGCATTGCGCGTTGGGAGCACGGACCAATTAGGGAGGTAGCGGGAACATAGGAAGAAGGTACTGAAAGGTCTAGAAGATTCTACACCCTGCAGGTTTCGAAAGATGAAAAATGACAGATCCAGGGCACTGGCTACAGGGTGTTACCTGCTACCGGCACGAAGAGTTCAGGGATTTAATTCAAACGTTGATTTAAAGGAAACAGAGAGGAAATATTGTCTTATTCATGCAGGTCACAGGGGGCACTGTCAACGAGATTCAAAAGCCACAGAGGAATTAAGAAGTTGTGCCTCGTTTGCTCTATCTTTGGGTCTGGGATTCTTCATTTTGGCTTCATTTGCTTTTAATTGGAAAGTCTGCAAAATGTTTTGGGTAGGGTTAGAATTTATTAGAAAATGCAACATATTCTGGGAAACTCTCCTAAGAGGACAAAGAGAGGAAACCCACAAATATCCACTTTCAAGAGTCAGTTAAGATTTGGGCTTGAAGAAAAGCAACTGCCTACTGATGAAGACAGCAAAGGGCAGGCTTTTGGTGCAGTGTTAGCATGTGGTTGGAACGCGTGGACCCACACTGGAGCATGTGAGGTCTAGTCCTGGCTCCTCCACCTCTGATTCAGCTGCCTGCTCGTGTGCACCCAGGGAGGGCACAGGAGATCCTGGCTCAAGCACTTGGGCCCTGTTGGAAGGAGACCCTGATGCTTTCGGGACTCTTGGCTTCTGCCTGGCCCAGCCCTGAAAGCTTCAAGTCTCTTCATAGACAATCGGTAGATGGGAGATGTCTGTTTGCCTCTCTTTCTGTTTTTCTCTTTGCTTTTCCAATAAATGAAAAAATAAATAAATAAGTGAAACTTTCAGAAAAGAAGAAAATGGGGGACGGTGTTGGGCGGTGCAGCAGGCTGAGCTGCTTGTGACCCCTGCATCCCATGTGGGCGGCGGTTCAAGTCCCAGCTGCTCTGCTTCTGAGCCAGCTCCCTGCCAAAGCACCTGGGAAGGAACTGTAAGAAACCACAAGTCTTGGATCCCTCCACCCAAGTGGGAGACCCAAATGAAGCTCCCGGTTCCTGGTTTTGGCCCAGTCCTGGCCATTGTAGCCATCTGGGGTGTGAACCAGTGGATGGCAGATCTCTTTCTCTCTCTCCTTCTCTCTCTGTATCTCTGACTTTAAAATAAATTAATAAATCTTGTAAAAAGAGAAGAAAATGTGAACAGAAACAGGAACCAGCTCCTCCTGTCTGGAGAATGAGTCATTTAAGACACAGCTGAAGAAAACGATGTGGGACTCCTCGGGGAAGTGTGAAAAGGAGCCATCTGAGCCAACCACCAGCCAAGTTAACAGCAGGTGACAGCTGCTGAACTCAGGGGGCCCATGCAACAGGAGAGGGGCCCAGAGATTGAGCAAAGAGACAGAGAGCTGAACAGACAGCAGGAGGGACTCCTACACTAAGAAGAAAGTGGAAAGAAGAAATAAGCCGGTGGATCAGGAAGCAATGAATTCAAACAGCCAATAGTCACAAGAAAAAGGACAAAAGCTGTTACATTATCAGTTGAAGATGCCAAATATTTGGGGGCCAGCACTGTGGCACAGTAAGCTAAGCTTCTGCCTATGGCGCTGGTCTCCCATATGGGCACTGGTCCATGTCCTGGCTGCTCATCTTTCAATCTAGCTCCCTGCTAATGGCCGGGGAAAGCAATGGGAGTTGGCGCAAGTGCTTGGGCCCCTGCATCCACGTGGGAGACCCATAATCTCCTGGCTTCTGGCTTTGGATTGGCCCATCTCTGGCCATTGCAGCCATTTGGGAATTGGACCAGCAGACAGACGAACTTTCTCTCTGTCTTTCCCTTTCTCTGTCTGTAAATCTGCTTCTCCAGCAACAACAAAAATTTTTTTAAAAAGATGCCAAGTGTTTGAAAAGTCTGAGAAACAAGTAAGTCTGTTGAAAGATGACGTTCGCCATTCACCAGTAATGGTAAATGCATTTGTAACAGCATGCTTGTCACAGCTATCTCGGAACTAACAAAGGACTTGTGAAATCAGTACTGGTGGATCCAAGGACATGCTGGACAGTGGTCCTGAAAAATGGTGATGTGCCCAGGTACCTTCCAATGGGAGACCACCGAAAGCAGGGAAGCGAAAGATATTCACCATGTACCGGCCAACAGGGAAATGCAATTGAAATAATCACGCAGGATGATGTCATTCAAAACATTCTAAAGACAGCTTGTAAGCAGGATAGTTATGAAATTTACTTATGCATCTTTATGATCATAGAAATTGCCCCCAAGTAAATCAATGCTGATTTTCTTCTGCTTTCTTTTTCCTCATTTCAACAAACACGTATTAGCTTTTAATAAGCAAAGTGACAGAGAAATTTTTAAGTGTGTCTAATCTTCAGAGAATTTATGTGAGTGCTAACACTGAGTTAGATGGGAACGGTCAAGCAAGTTTCCGCAGAGTACCTAAACCTCTGTTTGGGGGGGGGGGCGGATTTTACCATGAAATTAAAAGACCACTCACTTATTTCCAAGTGTACATCTCTATTTTTCCATTCCATAATCCCTATGCATTTCAGTAGGTTCAGCTGCCCAAACAATCTGTTAGTCACCTGCCGAGGGGTGAACTCAGCTTGTGCTGGAGCTGGTACTGAAGGCAGAGGACCCGTTCTCTGGCTGCTTCGCTAAGGATGAGAGCGGTCACCTGCTGGTCAAAGTTAGGGACTAGGAGACGGACGAACGGAAGGCTGTAGCGGGCACACTTAATACCTAGGTGTTGAAAACCGGCCCACTGCCTTTAAGAGAGTAACAGATGGTTGTTATGTCTGTTAGTACGTCTGCTCAGCATATTCCTTCATGAGCTTAAAAGCATGAGAACTGGGAGAAGACGACTTCCCTCCCTAAAAACAGGCCACTGGCTTAAAGTGAGTGATGCATCTTAGGTGATTACCCCACATTAAGAAAGAAACAGGCAAGGACTTGCGAGTCTCTTGAGAACTGGGCTTGACACAAAATTCATGAAGCAAAGGGGTGAGAGGCAGACCAGGCACAGACCTCCGTTTGAGGAAGCTGTGTGCTGAGGGTAGGGTCTACCGGGCAGCTGTCGCGGCTCAGCCGTCTGCAGCAAAGCACGGTAAGTTCCGCGCTTTAAGGGAAGGGCTGGGTGTCACAGCCTGGCAAGGCTGCCGAGAAGTTCCCTGTGCTGTGTTTGTGACGCCAAAAATCCTCTCCAGCCACAAAATCCCCTCGAGGTCGCCATGTGAAAATGGCTAATGGACTCTGGTCCTGTCTTCTCATGGCCTGTCCGCTCTTTGCAGGCTGAAGTTTAACTTTCCAAGTAGATTATGAAGAAGTGCTAACGAAACTGTGATAGTTCAGATACTAAAGGTTAGCAGTTTCTGTACTGAATTAGGGTGGGATACTCCCAATGGGTATTTTGTGTCATTACAAATTCCATATAAAAGTTTATATTGCCCTACAACCATATTTGTGATACATCACCTGAGATGGCTTTCCAAAACAACACCTGCAAAACCATTTGTTATCCTTTTAATAAGGTCAAACTATAAAATTCTAATGAATTTTAGAAACAAGTTTCTCCTTTCATCTTCATTTTGACGTAAGCAGTATAATTTCTAGTGTGGAGATTCTATTTAAAATGCACTGATATTATAGAGAAAAACGTAGGAAGAGAAAGTACTTTTTAGTGAGTAGGCTTTTGCTTAAGGCCATTTTCTATATTAAAAATGAGACTAGCAATGGTAAGTTACCAATTTTGAGCCACCTGGAATTTTAAATTGCAATAATTTGATCTATATTTATAGAAGACTTGCTAAGGACAGGAAACGCTGGATAACTGTCAATTACTGTACATTAAGTCAACTGCTTCCTTTATTTCACCTAATAAAATAAAGCTTAGAGGTTTACAATAAAACTTCAGTGTAGTCTCAGAGAGTGCAGGGGCATTTAAGAACCTCCGGAGAAACGGTTCTGAAGAACTAATCCATTTACCGCGTGGTTGCAATCAGAACACACAGTCGTGTCCAAAACAGCACGGTACCTATGCAGGTGGGAGGGTCCGGTTGCCAGAAGAACCTGTTGTTCTGCTGCACACAGGTGACTTTGGCTTGTCCTTGGAGCTGGTACCCTGGATCGCACTGGAAGGTGAGGGTGTCGCCCGGCTCCCGGCTGTCTCCGTAGCGGGTGCCATTCTGGGGCATTCCTGGGTCGTTGCAGGTGGATGCGACTGTTGCTGCAGGAACAGACAACATGAGGTCAAGTGTCTGGAAGTGGTTCCTACGTTCACGCGGCTGTGGAGGCTCCTGCGGCCAAGGCACTCTGCACTGGCAGAAGGAATCATTTTGTCCACCTGTGAGCCTGTGAGACCAGTGTGCTCTCCCAGGGATACATTCAACGACATGCATCTCCACTGTGCTCACATTGACAAATGCCAAATCCCACTGAGACTGCAACCAGTTAGGGAAGGCACCAAGCTTGCTGTGTTATGCGAATACTAGGTTCACACACACACACACACACACACACCTCTTCCCCTCTGATTTTCTCTTTAGCAATATTTTACTGAAAACACACACTGGAAGTTAAATAATTGGAGCACACTGATCTCAAGGAACCTTGGGAAAATGTCCTTAATATCGGGGCCAGTGCAGGTGACAGGCTGCAATTCCAGAGGCAGGGGCAGGGGTCAGAGGACACAACTCGTCAGTTCTAACCAGGTAGGTCCTACAGTTCTAACCAGCCTCGGTCCCACAAAAACTGTGGTCTTGGTGAAATTATCAATTACCCCCTTTCACTTTCCAAAAATTTCCAATTTGGACAATAAGTTGTATGGCCACCCTCATCTTAAGGAAAGCTATAAGGATGTCCCTGCCATTTTACGAAAAGCAAGTATCAGGAATTCCAAACCAGCTGAGTACAAGTTGGCATCTGCCAAGCAGGAGAGAGCTTCTGGGAGCACAGGGCCGCGTGCTGCCAGGCCCTGCCACCCACACAGAGCAGGCTGCACCCGGTGCCCCCAACAGCACGCTGGTCTGGCACCCCCCAGCCTCCTCTGGGCTGTGTTCAGCTAAGTCAGGAGACACGAAGAGCCAACTACATTTTGTCCCACATGCTCTATCATCAGCAGCCTAGCATCCTGACAGCCGTGGATTCAAAGGAGCAGGAGCCTTTGCTCTTTGTCTCTTGCCTTGCACCCCCTGCAGCTTGGCTTGGTGCAGAGCTAGATCAAGGAAGTCCACTCAGCTGGAAAGGCGGGAGTCGGAAAGAACAAACTGCTCTGTGCTCCTGAGGACACTGCCAGTTAACAGAGCCGGCGTGGACAGAGGGAAGAGTTAGAGGGTGCAGGCTGCAGGACACAGAGTGACCTGCAGTCGGACATCAAGGTTCTGCTGCACACTCAGGCCCTGTCATTAGAACTTAATTAGCACTAATGGCCACTTGAGCTCACTGATCTCCCGTGCACTAATCAGTGAGAGAGACCAGCAAATGCCTTATCGAGTCCACTGTGATGATGAAGTCCACAAGCGGCAGACTTGTCTCTCCCTGTTACCCCCTGAGCTAGCTGCTGTCAGAGCCGTCTTAACCATTCACTGCTTTTCTCTCACTGGTTTCTATTGCATGCTATGTGCATCGCTAGCACAGTAAGAACAGTAGAAGGAGCATCTGCGTTACCTCCACCTGCGTACGACACAGAGTATTATTCTCGAAACATCAATAGCATCCACAGGCACCCACACTGTGCTTCCCCATTCAGGGCTTCCCTCTGCCCCAGGTGAAGTCGCTGCCCTGGAGCCAGGTTTACCGCTCCCTTGCTCTTGGTCACTGCTACTAAACCCATGCACTCTAAAGGCCCACCTGGATGGGCGCCTTTTCTCATGCCTTTCAGTCGACATCAATGGCATCCTGTGAGTTCTGTGACTCTGTTTCTCACCCGAGTTTCATGTCTGCGAGTCAGTGTGCTCAGGCTCAGGGCAGGGGGCTGCTCTCATTGTCTTAGTCTCCCGCTGTGTGTCTGTGCCACAGTACCTCCACAGGCCCCGCGTGGGTCCCTGGGCCATGGCTCCTGCAGCTCCTGCACAGACAGTGCCACAGAAACTCCTGTGTGTGTGGCTGTTGTGTCCTCACACCACCAGACAGCATGTGGTCAGATGGTATTTACTGTTACCAAGAGTCAGAGAGAAAACTCTCACCCTCATCTACTGATTCACTGCACAAATCCTTGCAACAGTCTGGGCTGGAATGTGAGTCAAAGTTGGATCCAGGAACTTACAGGCCCCCCACATGGGTGGCAGCAACAAAACTCCTGGAGCCATCACTGTTGCCTGCCAGGGTCGACATTGGCAGGAATCTGGAATCAGGAACCAGAGCCAGGGACTCAACTCATACACTGTGATGGGAGACATGGGCATCCTAACTGGTGTCCAAAATATTAGGCTAAACACCCACCCCAGATGGTGCTATTAATTCAGTGTAAGCATCTTGCCTCTTAACTGGTTAGCTGTATGAACTTCATTAACCTCCCCCTCTGCTCGGATTAACCGAGACCATTTACCTTGTGCTGTCTATGCAGTCCCTCTTCCTGCTTTTCTGTTGGCTTTTCTGCTGGTCAATTCCTATATGTTCACTTATTTATTTTAGTAAATTAGGAGAAAATTTAGTCTGTATTCAGTTGTAATATTCTTACCTGTGTCTTTCAAACCCTAGAACACTTTACTTTTCACTGCTGCTAACTATTGACAAGTTATTGCTGTCAAGTAGTGCAGCTAATTTTTGAAAAAGTAGACATTGTCATTACTACTGCGTTCTCATAAACCCTACAAGCTCTCATTATGACCACTGCAGACAGCTGAAGGTTGTGTGTATTTCTGCGCGTCTTCATCAATTTGCTCACTACGTTTTCTTTCTCTTTCAATCTCAGAGCTTTCATCTGTTATAATTTTTTTATGTTCATTCTTTTTCCAAATTTCCTTTAGTAAGAATATGTGACAGTCTGGAATATTTTCAAACACAGTTGGCCATTGAACTAGTATACTGTTTTCTATTCATATTTTTAGCCTTTTTTGCGTTCTTGCAGTCTGAATCTGGTGATAATTCCAACATCTCACGCAGACAAATGTAGCTGAGATGCCTTGACTTCGGCACGTGGTCTCTGGCAGCTCTACCTGTGGTGATTCTTGGTAGTGTGCTCTGTAGGTTCCTCCACCCTCAGCGGGCTCACATGCGATTCTGTTTTGCACCAGCAACAGCAAAAGCCTTCAAATTCAAATTCTCGTCTTGTGGCATGTTGGACCGCACAGACAGTGTGATTTCACCCATAAACTACTTCAACACCTGCTTGGAGCTGTCAGTTATATGTTCATGGTTAAGTCTGCATTGATATCCATATCTACATCCATATTTATATCTGTATCTATACCAATTTCCATATTTATATCTGAATTTCTGTCTACTTCATTTCTACACCTTTGTCCATATCCACACCCACATTCATATCTATATTCAGCCATCCTATAACCACAACTATATTCATATCCATAGCCACAGCTATATTGTATCCATATCTGTACCCATATTTCTATGTCCACAGCTCCACCTATCTACCTCAATATCTACATCCATACGTATATCCCGGTATGTAAATACAGCCATGCCTACATATTTATAGCCATATCTAATCCATATCGACAGCTATATCCATATAACATCCATGTCCACGTCAGTCTGTGCCTACATCTGTCCACAGCTCTACGTGCCTCCTTCATATCTGCATCTGTCTCTGTGTTCTCTTTCATACTGAGAATGGAGCCTTCTCTGGAGCTCTGGCTGTATATTGGCAGCTACCATTACATCTCCAGCATCAGAAAGGCACTGGCTTTGTTTCCAAGCGTCATAGCGATTCGCAGAGGCCACCAGGACAAAGTCCCTGAACCCCACACTCCCTCTGCATGTTATACGATTTCGGAAGCAGCGAGGGGTCTTCATTTTCTGGCAGGCTGAGTAATACATTTAGAAAAACTAAGAACAACTTATTCTGGGGGCCTTGAACGCATGTTCACTGGACGAATTTTGAAAGGGTTTCTTATAACATTGCAAAGAGGTGGCCCCGCAACCGCAGTTATGTCTTTTTTTTTATTTTATTTTATTTTTATTTTTATTTTTTGACAGGCAGAGTGGACAGTGAGAGAGAGAGACAGAGAGAAAGGTCTTCCTTTGCCGTTGGTTCACCCTCCAATGGCCGCCGCGGCCAGCGCGCTGCGGCCGGCGCACCGCGCTGATCCGATGGCAGGAGCCAGGAGCCAGGTGCTTTTCCTGGTCTCCCATGGGGTGCAGGGCCCAAGCACTTGGGCCATCCTCCACTGCACTCCCTGGCCACAGCAGAGAGCTGGCCTGGAAGAGGGGCAACCGGGACAGAAGCCGGTGCCCCAACCGGGACTAGAACCTGGTGTGCCGGCGCCGCTAGGCGGAGGATTAGCCTAGTGAGCTGCGGCGCCGGCTCCGCAGTTATGTCTTAAGCACAGTGCCTTCCTCACCTTCAGCGTTTCAAGTAGAGAAATTCTACTTAAAAGCAGAATTCGTGATGGATATTGGAAAGACGGTGCTTGGGTGCCTGCACCGGCTCTGCAAAGGGAAGGGAACAAGAAGGGTTGTAGGAGACCCACTGCGGGACACCAGCACAGTTTCCATTTGCTCCCAGAGGCTGCAGAGATTGGCTGACAGGGCAGAGGGTGAGCCCATGTCTCTGAGAGAAGAAGGACAGTGGCAGGTTTCAGGCCACAACCACAGGTACAGAGCTGGTAGTTAGAAGGCCCCACCATCTAGTTAAGAGTGTCCCCATCAAAAGGTAGAAATGGCAAGACAACAGTGCTGTGGGCTTCAATCACCAGACAGCACCTGCGCTGAGCTCGCATTTTTATCTACGACCCTGGGCTGTCTCTGTGCAATGTTCCTGTAGATTCAATACCCATCTGTGCCCTGCTTGTGGTGAGACGTCTCTGTTGTTCAAAAAAAAAGAAAGAAGGAGAGGAGAGGAGAGGAGAGGAGAGGAGAGGACAGGAGAGGAGAGGAGAGCAGAGGAGAGGGGAGGAGGGGAGGGGAGGGGAGGGGAAGGGAGGGGAGGGGAGGAGGGGGAGAGAGAGAGGGAGAGAAGAAAAAGAAGGAAAGAAGGAAAGAGAGAAAGAGAGAGAGAGAGAATAAATCCCATTGTTTACAATCTTGTTTACTGGGCTGGATTTC